ACTGAAGGATGACTGAAGGATGACTGAAGGATGACTGAAGGAAGGATGACTGAAGGATGACTGAAGGATGACTGAAGGATGACTGAAGGATGACTGAAGGATGACAGATCTTCCCCAACACCCTGAACTCGTCGTGTGCAGCCCTGAAGGGAAGCATTGAGCACACCCTTCGGCTCCGGCTCAGGGCCCTTCCACCCTTCATGTTCTCCCCCCTAGGTTGCTCATGCACCTCGTGAAGGTTGACTGAAGGATGACAGATCTTCCCCAACACCCTGAACTCGTCGTGTGCAGCATTGAGCACACCCTTCGGCTCCGGCTCAGGGCCCTTCCACCCTTCATGTTCTCCCCCCCAGGTGGATCAGGAACAGTAATGAATGTCCACACTGCATAAGCAGACCCACCCGCCATCAAGCAGAGAAGTCCTCACCATGTTGGGATCTGAGGTGTTGTGGGGCCCCTGGAGGGAATCAAGCAGAGAAGTCCTCACCATGTTGGGATCTGAGGTGTTGTGGGGCCCCTGGAGGGAATCACGAGTATCCCTGTAGCTGGGAAACAGCAGTGTGTAAAGTTCATGAGCCAAGTGAGCGCAGTCTCATGGTGGTCACACCAAGATGTACCTCCCCTTGTCGGATGACGATGGTAAAGCTCGGCAGTACCGGGACAGGTCCAACTGCACTGCCACCGCATGGCCAATCGCTTGCTTTCTTGCGGCTAGTAGGCGGTTGCACGTGTATGGTGTGTTTTTGTGTCAGCTGAGGGCAGATGGGGTGGAGAACGGGTAGGTCAGACCTCTCCTAGAGCTGCACCCTGGGCGGCTGATCCTCCTGCCCACCCCTTGTCCCAGCCCTGATGCTCGTATCCATGTTAAGCAACGTAAGAGCCTCCTCTCTCCATATCGGGGTTCACGTCAGAATGAGGCGTTTTGGACCCGGACCCTCAGAATTGTTCTCTCTTCTACACATATGTGGTGGTTGTTGATGGAAGATTTCTGCTGCTGTGAGGAGATCCTCCACAGGGAGGAATGGGGGTGCCACCAAAGTTCACTCCCTTGGACAAGGACTTTCCTCCCGAAAATAAATGCTCCTTAAGCTTTTACTGCCTTCGCCTTCTCTCCTCCAGGTGAACGACCATATTCTGTGGTGGACGGTCCGCAGCAGGAAGCTGAACTTGTTGGGTCTTCCCTTACCCTGAGCGTGTTGGGCTTTCGGAGCGTGCTCTGGAAATTCAACCAATCCTTCTCAGATCTCAGCAGTTAGATTTCATCAGACGGCCAAGTGGGGGTGGCGCCCGACCCGCTCACACGGCCAAGTGGGGTGGCCCGACCCCCGACCCGCTCACACGGCCAAGTGGGGGCGCGCCCGACCCGCTCACACGGCCAAGGGGGGTGGCGCCCGACCCGCTCACACGGCCAAGTGGGGGCGCCCGACCCGCTCACACGGCCAAGTGGGGGCGCCCGACCCGCTCACACGGCCAAGTGGGGGCGCCCGACCCGCTCACACGGCCAAGTGGGGGCGCCCGACCCGCTCGCACGGCCAAGTCACACGGCCAAGTGGGGGCGCCCGACCCGCTCACACGGCCAAGTGGGGCGCCCGCCCGACCCGCTCACACGGCCAAGTGGGGCCGCCCGACCCGCTCACACGGCCAAGTGTGGGGCCGCCCCGACCCGCTCTCACCAAGTGGGGGCGCCCGACCCGCTCGCACGGCCAAGTGGGGCCGCCCGACCCGCTCGCACGGCCAAGTGGGGCGCGCCCGACCCGCTCACACACGGCCAAGTGGGGCCGCCCGACCCGCTCACACGGCCAAGTGGGGCCGCCCGACCCGCTCACACGGCCAAGTGGGGCCGCCCGAACCCGCTCACCACCCACGGCCAAGTGGGGGCGCCCGACCCGCTCACACGGCCAAGTGGGGCCGCCCTCTGTAAAATTGTATGACCTTTCACCATGGAAGCCCAGCATAGACTGCTACGACCAAGTTCATGACGTCAATTTTAGAGGTTGAAAGTAGGTGGTTTCCATAATACGCATTTTTTTTTTTTGTGCACATCTCCCAGTTCTAGGACATTAAAATCTACATTTCCATGGTGACTGGATGATGGTGTTGGTGCTCCCTATGAGGATATAAATACCGGGATATCCTCACAACACCAAAGATGGGATGATGGACCTAGAACAAGATGTCCCCGTCACAGTCATACCCCCCGTCCTGTTCTACGTCCATAAGATGTTCACTGGATGAAGGTGTTGGTGCTCCCTATGAGGATATCCCGACACCAAGGATGGGAATACCAAGGGATAACCTTCTTCCCTAGGACACTGGTGACTGAATGAAGGTGTTGGTGATGAGGGGATGGGATGATGGACCTAGAACAAGGTGTCACCTAACCTTCACACCCCCCCATCCTATTCTAGGACAAAAAAGATCTGGTGACTGAATGAAGGTGTTGGTGCTCCCTATGAGGATATAAATAATGGGATATCTTCACGACACCAAGGATGGGATGATGGACCTAGAACAAGGTGTTCCCCTCATCTTCACACTCCTCATCCTGTTCTAGGACAATCATCTACCTTTCCATGGAGATTAGATTTGGGGTGTCAACACTACCGGTGTCGATACAAATAACTGGATATCTTCCAAACTCCAAGGATGGGATGATGGACCTAGAACAAGGTGTCCCTCAACCATCACAGCCCCCATTCTATTCTAGGACAATAAGATCTGGTGACTGGATGGGGTTGGTGCTCTCTATGAGGATATAAATACCAGGATATCCTCCCTACACCAAGGACGGGATGATGGACCTAAAACAAGGTGTCCCTCAACATTCACAACCCCCATCCTATTCTAGGACAAGAAGAGCTGGTGACTGGATGGAGTTGGTGATCCCTATAAGGATATAAATACCAGGATATCCTCCCGACACCAAGGATGAAGGTGTTGGTGTCAAGAGGATAACCCAGTATATATATCCTCATAGGAAGCACCAACACCTTCATCCAGTCACCAAATCTTATTGTCCTAGAATAGGATGGGGGGTGTGATGGTTGAGGGACACCTTGTTCTAGGTCCATCATCCCATCCTTTGTGTTGAGGATACCCCGGTATTTACATCCTCAAAGGAAGCACCAAGGATGGGATGATGGTCCTGGCACAAGGTGTCCCTCAACCATCACACCCCCGTCCTATTCTAGGACAATAAAATATGGTGACTAGATGAAGGAGTTGGTGCTCCCTATGAGGATATAAATACCGGGATATCCTTCTGACACCAAAGATGGGATGATGGACCTAGAACAAGGTGTCCCTCAGCCATCATACCCCCTACACTATTCTAGGACAATAAGATCTGCCGACTGCATGAAAGTGTTGGTGCTCCCTATGAGGATATAAATACCAGGATATCTTCCCGAAACCAACAATAGGATGATGGAGCCAGAACAAGGTGTCCCTCAACCGTCACACACCCCCATCCTATTCTAGCAAAATAAGATCTGGTGACTGGATGAAAGTGTTGGTGCTCGCTATAGGGATATAGATACTGGGGTATCCTCCCGACACCAAGGATGGGGGATGATGGACCTAGAACAAGGTGTCATTCAACCTTCACAACCCCCTTCCTATTTTAGGAGGAGAAGATCTGGTGACTGGTGACCTAGAACAAGGCCTTTCCCTCACCATCACACTCCCCATCCTGTTCTAGGACAATCATCTACCTTTCCATGGAGATTAGATTTGGGGTGTCAGTACTACCGGTGGCGATCTAAATACCGGGATATCTTCCCGAAACCAAGGATGGGATGATGGACCTAAAACAAGGTGTCCCTAAAACGTCAACCCCCCCCATCCTATTCTAGGACAATAAGATCTGGTGACTGGATGAAAGTGCTCCCTATGAGGATATAAATACCGGGATAATCTGCCCAATACCAAGGATGGGATGATGGACCTAGAACAAGGTGTCCCTAAAAACGTCACCCCCCCATCCTATTCTAGGACAATGAGATCTGGTGACTGGATGAAAGTGCTCCCTATGAGGATATAAATACCGGGATAATCTGCCCAATACCAAGGATGGGATGATGGACCTAGAACAAGGTGTCCCTAAAAACGTCACCCCCCCATCCCATCCTATTCTAGGACAATGAGATCTGGTGACTGGATGAAAGTGTTGGTGCTCCTTATGATATAAATACCGAGATAATCCGCCCAATACCGAGGATGGGATGATGGACCTAGAACAAGGTGTCCCCCTCACTGTCACCCCCCCCCCCCCCCCCCCCATCCTGTTCCAGGACAATACGATCTGGTGACTAGATGGAGTAGGTGCTCCCTATAGGAATATAAATACTGGGGAATCTTCCAGACACCAAGGATGGGATACCGGAACTAAAGAGGGTTTCCCTCAACCGTCAGCCCCCCCATCCTGTTCTTGGACAATCATCTGCCCTTCCATGGTGATTGGATTTGGGTCGTCAGTATTACCTGTGGGGATACAAATGTTGGGTTATCTTCCTGACACTCAGAACTGAAGAACTGGATCGGAGAAGCTATAAATCGTCTTCAACATTACAGAACAAGTCCAGCTGAATGTGACCACCTACCACCAGCCAGAACTTCCATAGAAAACTTGTCCGAGTTCAGATCCGACATCCAGAGGACTGCAGGCCACACCTAGATTCGGCATAGAACAGCCAGGAGACAATCAATACCTCTTACTGAAAAGCCATCACGGTGAGGGGCCCCGGGGCCCGGGACTATGTAGATACTGACTGCGGGACACCGCCAGATCAGTCCACAAAGAGACTATAACTGATGTCCATGGTGGGTGGTCACTTAGGCAACACCAGCGTGCCGATATTCAACAATGCGACTACATCACCCTTGTACTTCTGTGCACAGGGAGGAGGGGCTTCTTCCAATGACCGCCCCTTGTCTATGAGCAATCAATCAGGAGCCTCCTCCATGTACACCAACACAACGACCAGCATGGCTGCACTTACTTCTTCCTGCGGCGGCCGTACAGTTCTCTGCGCAGTTCCCGTGAGATTGGTTTAAGATGCATGAAGTTACAGAAGCCGCCACGCGTGCACTCCCTGCGGAGAGAGATTCCATGAACAGATGAACATGTGTGTGATGGGTGAACCCTACGCCCATACTATACCACATGACCACAAGCTCCTCCCTCAAACTCACCCCATTTCATACTGGCGACAGCACGCCTCCCGGAAGTCGGTGACTGGAGAAAGTTCTGCGTGAATGGGCTGACCGTTGAACCAGCGATTGTTTAAATCCTTCACAGCCTTCTCCGCATCTTCTTCCCGCCGGAACTGTAACAGAGAACCGTGTTACTGGACACTCTCCACATCCCCCCAACCAGCCCGGGTATGGATGTCCCCACATCATTCCCCCCAACCAGCCCGGGTGTGGATGTCCCCACATCATTCCCCCCCAACCAGCCCGGGTGTGGATGTCCCCCACATCATTCCCCCCCAACCAGCCCGGGTATGGATGTCCCCACATCATTCCCCCCCAACCAGCCCGGGTATGGATGTCCCCACATCATTCCCCCCCAACCAGCCCGGGTATGGATGTCCCCACATCATTCCCCCCCAACCAGCCCGGGTATGGATGTCCCCACATCATTCCCCCCCCAACCAGCCCGGGTATGGATGTCCCCACATCATTCCCCCCCAACCATTCCCCCCCGGGTATGGATGTCCCCACATCATTCTCCCCATTCCCAACCAGCCCGGGTATGGATGTCCCCACATCATTCCCCCCCCCAACCAGCCCGGGTATGGATGTCCCCACATCATTCCCCCCCAACCAGCCCGGGTATGGATGTCCCCACATCATTCCCCCCCAACCAGCCCGGGTATGGATGTCCCCACATCATTCCCCCCCCAACCAGCCCGGGTATGGATGTCCCCACATCATTCCCCCCCAACCAGCCCGGGTATGGATGTCCCCACATCATTCCCCCCCCCAACCAGCCCGGGTATGGATGTCCCCACATCATTCCCCCCCAACCAGCCCGGGTATGGATGTCCCCACATCATTCCCCCCCAACCAGCCCGGGTATGGATGTCCCCACATCATTCCCCCCCAACCAGCCCGGGTATGGATGTCCCCACATCATTCCCCCCCCAACCAGCCCTGGTATGGATGTCCCCACATCATTCCCCCCCCCCCCCCAACCAGCCCGGGTATGGATGTCCCCACATCATTCCCCCCCCCCCAACCAGCCCGGGTATGGATGTCCCCACATCATTCCCCCCCCCCAACCAGCCCGGGTATGGATGTCCCCACATCATTCCCCCCCCCCAACCAGCCCGGGGTATGGATGTCCCCACATCATTCCCCCCCCCCAGCCCGGGTATGGAACCATTCCCCCCCAACCAGCCCGGGTATGGATGTCCCCACATCATTCCCCCCCCCCAACCAGCCCGGGTATGGATGTCCCCCACATCCCCCCCCCCAAACCAGCCCGGGTATGGATGTCCCCACATCATTCCCCCCCCAACCCCCCCACATCATTCCCCCCCAACCAGCCCGGGTATGGATGTCCCCACATCATTCCCCCCCAACCAGCCGGGTGTGGATGTCCCCACATCATTCCCCCCCAACCAGCCCGGGTATGGATGTCCCCACATCATTTCCCCCCCCCCCCCCCCACCAGCCCGGGTATGGATCTCCCACCCTCTCCATCCCCCCCAACCAGCCCTGGTATGGATGTCCCCACATCATTCCCTCCCCCCAACCAGCCCGGGTATGGATGTCCCCCATCCCCCCCCAACCAGCCCGGGTATGGATGTCCCCTGCACCCTCTCACATCATTCCCCCCCCCAACCAGCCCTGGTATGGATGTCTGCACCCGGGTATGGATGTCCCACATTCCCCCCAACCAGCCCCGGGTATGGATGTCCCCACATCATTCCCCCCCCACCCGGGTATGGATGTCCCCACATCATTTTCCCCCCCCAACCTCCATCCCCCCCCCAACCAGCCCTGGTATGGATGTCCCACCTCTTCCCCCCCAACCAGCCCAGGTATGGATGTCCCACATCATTCCCCCCCAACCAGCACGGGTATGGATGTCTGCACCCCTCTCCATCCCCCCAACCAGCCACGGGAAGTATGGATGTCCCCCCAACCAGCCTCACGGATGTCCCCCATCCCCCCCAACCAGCCCGGGTATGGATGTCCCCACACATTCCCCCCCCCCCCCCCCAACCAGCCCGGGTATGGATGTCCCCACCATTCCCCCCCCCCCAACCAGTCCGAGTACGGAAGTCCCCACATCATTCCCCCCCCCAAACCAGTCCGAGCACGGAAGTCCCCCATCATCCCCCCCCCCCCAACCAGCCCAGGCATGGAGGTCCCCACATCTCTCCCAACCAGCCATGGATGGAAGAAGACCATCTGATATTTCCTGATATTGGAGTGTCCCATTCAGATCCTCACCTTGACGTAAACATTTCCCACAAGATGATCTCCTAAATTGTCACATACATTCATCTCCTCCACCTCCCCGTACTTCTCCTCCATCTCAGTGAAGACTTCCTGAAAAAACAAGGTTCATGGTAAGACAATGTACTGACCAGTGTCTGATGGTTGTGTACTCATCCTGTCTCAGAGCTCCAGAGTACGTATGCACAAGGACAAAGAATACATTGTATAGTCATCCTGTCTCTGAGCTCCGGAGTTAGTATGCGGGGATAGAATACATTGTGTACTCATCCTGTCTCTGAGCTCCGGAGTTAGTATGCGGAGGATAGAATACATTGTGTACTCATCCTGTCTCTGAGCTCCGGAGTTAGTATGCGGAGATAGAATACATTGTGTACTCATCCTGTCTCTGAGCTCCGGAGTTAGTATGCGGAGATAGAATACATTGTGTACTCATCCTGTCTCTGAGCTCCGGAGTTAGTATGCGGAGATAGAATACATTGTGTACTCATCCTGTCTCTGAGCTCCGGAGTTAGTATGCGGAGATAGAATACATTGTGTACTCATCCTGTCTCTGAGCTCCGGAGTTAGTATGCGGAGATAGAATACATTGTGTACTCATCCTGTCTCTGAGCTCCGGAGTTAGTATGCGGAGATAGAATACATTGTGTACTCATCCTGTCTCTGAGCTCCGGAGTTAGTATGCGGAGATAGAATACATTGTGTACTCATCCTGTCTCTGAGCTCCGGAGTTAGTATGCGGAGATAGAATACATTGTGTACTCATCCTGTCTCTGAGCTCCGGAGTTAGTATGCGGAGATAGAATACATTGTGTACTCATCCTGTCTCTGAGCTCCGGAGTTAGTATGCGGAGATAGAATACATTGTGTATCATCCTGTCTCTGAGCTCCGGAGTTAGTATGCGGAGATAGAATACATTGTGTACTCATCCTGTCTCTGAGCTCCGGAGTTAGTATGCGGAGATGGAATACATTGTGTACTCAGCCTGTCTCTGAGCTCCGGAGTTAGTATGCGGGGATAGAATACAGATGAGCTCGGAGTTAGTATGCGGAGATACATCGTGTACTCATCCTGTCTCTGAGCTCCGGAGATGCTCTGGAGTCTCTGAGCTCCGGATAGTATGCAGAGATAGAATACATTGTGTACTCAGCCTGTCTCTGAGCTCCGGAGTTGGAACATTCCGGATTCTAGTCCTCTGTAGAACCCCATTTACACCCCAGCAGATTTGTGACGTTGGTATTCATCCTTCACTGGCTGCGATACATGAGGAGACCAGGAGGTGGCGCCCCTGAGCAGAGATCACATCGGGAATTAGTCCTCGGAGACCTCAAAGAACTCGTCGTAATGTTCCTGCATCTCCACATCGCTCACTGCGCCTGCGGGAGTAAACACACATGTCACACGCCACGGACACCGCATGTAGAACACACGCCACGGACACCGCATGTCACACACCACGGACACAGCCGTCACACGCCACGGACACAGCCGTCACACGCCACGGACACCAGGACATGTCACACGCCACGGACACCGCATGTCACACGCCACGGACACCGCATGTCACACGCCACGGACACCGCATGTCACACCGCCGCCACGGACACCGCATGTCACACGCCACGGACACCGCATGTCACACGCCACGGACACAGCCGTCACACCACGGACACAGCCGTCACACCCACGGACACAGCCGTCACACACCACGGACACAGCCGTCACACACCACGGACACAGCCGTCACACACCACGGACACAGCCGTCACACACCACGGACACAGCCGTCACACACCACGGACACAGCCGTCACACCACGGACACAGCCGTCACACGCCACGGACACCGCATGTCACACGCCACGGACACCCGCAATGTCACACGCCACGGACACCGCCGTCACACGCATGTCACACCGGACCCCGGACACCGCATGTCACACGCCACGGACACCGCCGTCACACGCATGTCACACGCCACGGACAACCGCCGTCACACGCATGTCACACGCCACGGACACCGCCGTCACACGCATGTCACACGCCACGGACACCGCCGTCACACGCATGTCACACGCCACGGACACCGCCGTCACACGCATGTCACACACCACGGACACCGCCGTCACACGCATGTCACACGCCACGGACACCGCCGTCACGCGCCACAGACACACGCCGGCACACACCACGGACACCGCCGGCACACACGTCACATACCACGGACACCACCGGCACACACGTCACATACCACGGACACCGCCGTCGCATGTCACACACGGACACCGCCGTCACACGCATGTCTCACACACCACGGACACCGCCGTCACACGCATGTCACTCACACCACGGACACCGCCGTCACACGCATGTCTCACAACCACGGACACCGCCGTCACACGCATGTCACACACCACGGACACCGCCGTCACACGACCATGTCACAACACACGGACACCGCCGTCACGCGACACCAGGACACCGCCGGCACACACCACGGACACCGCCGGCACACACGTCACATACACGG